TTGAGAGGTTTTCGCTATAGGGTGCGTGTGCTCGCCAGACAGACAGAGACATAGAGACAGAAAGCGAGAAATCACCCCCCAGGGGAGATGGTCACGCCACAATCCCTTCTCTGCCATTCTCCTCTCCGGATCTTGGGCACGCATGCACACGGGTCCGGCATGAGTTTTAAGCCACCAGGTCCGGGACGCGAACCACTGTCGACTACGTGGGAGTCCAGTGACATAGCCATTACGCTAACTGCTGGTTCCCTAACGTGGCCACTTTTGACATAGCAAGGAGCTTAGGTTTTATTTTGTAGGTCAGTATCTTTGAAAGTGTGGTCATCAGATCACTTATAGCAAAATCACCCATTGTGCTTATTAAGTATGCAGATTTCTGGGCCCTACCCTAAGAAATATTGAATTAGGATCTCTTGTATTGTGGTCCAGTGACCTGGATTTAAATAAACTCCCCAGGTGCTCCTCATTTCATGTCTTTGAGAAGATGACATTGAACTGAAATCTGAATGATGAGAAAGGAACCAATCATGGAACGACCTGGAGTAAGGAGGTCTAGACAAGTGCAGTCTGATAGGAATACAGTGCAAACCATGTCTGTAAAGCCACACTAAAAGAGTAAAAAGAAACAGATGGAATTAATTGTATTACATATTTTACTTAATATATTAAAATATCATTTCAACATGTAACAGATACAAAAATTGTAGAGATATTTTGTGTTCTTTATTTTCTACTATCTTAAAGATTCAGTGTATATTTTATATTTGCTACACCTCTTAATTCAGATTTACTACATTTCAAGTACTCAATAATTGCATTTGGCTAGTGACTAGCACATAGGATAGCACTCTATACAGAGTAAAGAGCCGATACAAAGGCTCTGGAGATTTATGTAGAGCTGTGCATTTGGCATCTGGAAGTTGAAAATGTTGGTCTAGAGCTTTGGAACAAAATCAAAATCAGATACATAGGTTTAAAAAACATTGATACAGAAGAGTTGTCACACGCAGCGAGTATAGCTGTCATTGGTTTTCAATGAAGTCTACTAGAATCACTTAGGGGGCTTTTTCTCCCCATAGTTGCACTCCAAAATCTTGAGGAAGAATTTTGATGAGGCAGCTATCTCAGGGTTGAGAGACAGATTTCATTTGGATCTGATCCCCCTTTGCTGCCCCTGTTTCTGTTTGAGAATAAATGGTTAAAAAGCAGATGAGCATAAAAGAGACTAAGATGTAAAGAGGTAAGAGGAGTGTTAAAGAAATGAAGGAGTAGGGTGGGGTATTTGCAAATTAAGAGATTTTCTGATGATCATTGAGGCCATAGTTTAAATAGAGTGATCAACTGGATTAAGATGGGTCCTGAAGATAAGTCGGTTGAGAAAGAATTGCAACCTGGCTGCTCAAATGTCAGAGCTAAATTGCAAGATGGGTGTGCTGTTTTTTCAGCTAGAATTTGTAAAAATCCTTTACACTTGATTACAGTCTATCTATATTCCCTGTCTTACAGTTCTCATAGCTGTTGCATTTTGGTTCATTGTTGATGTACATCTCCATCTTCACCCTGATCACACCTGGGGATCTTTTAAGAAGTACCCATTCTTATACCCCTCTCCACATATCAGAATAAGTCAGAATTTGTAGGAAAGGGGTCTATCACTATTTTTAAACTCCCCAAGTGATTCTAACATACTAAGGTAGAAAACTGTTGGTCCTGCAATGTAGTAACCACCTCTAAGACAGAAAATAAATGTTTCCTATTTTCATGTTCTTACAGATTGACTTACTACCTGGAACATAGTTAAGCTTTCAATAAATATCGAAAGAATGAACAAATGAGAAAATATGGCCAGAGAACTAGGCAGGCCCTTGTGGGTAGCCTAATAAATTAACATTGCCCTTCTTTATAATGAACAGTTACCAGGCACATTATTAAGTACATTGTACCTGTTTTGGAATCCATTATTAGTGTGGAACTCATATTGTAAATTGGTCTAAATAAAAGTACTGGTCCAAAATCTGAGTTATAAATATAGACAAAACAATTGATGGGGCTATTTTCTCAGTCTTATTGTTTGACTACACACTTCACAAGATGTAGTATATTTAACTATTCCACCGAGTACACTATAAAGGGGAAATTATTGTATTCATGGTAAAGATATTTTGCCATCAATTTAAAGTAAGCACTTCCAATTTTCACAGAATTAACTACAACTCAATAAATTCTGTTATATTTAGAATTCAATGTTGTAGCTATTCAGAACCTCTTATTTATAAGAATATTTATTATTCTCTGTCTTGACTTTTTTTAAATGACTTTTTTTTTGGGGGGGGAAGATTTTTGCTATAGCGTGCATGTACTTACCAGAGAGACAGAAAGCAAGAAATCTCTCACCACCACTACCCCGCCCCTCGCCCTGCAGTGGGGATGGCAATGCCATAGTCTTTTAACCTCTATTCTCCTCTTGGGATTTTGGACATGCACACATACCCTGCATGAGTTCAAGCCTCTGGGTCTGGGACTCGAACTGCAGTCGGCCATGTGGGAGTCTAGTGCCCTAACCATTACACTACCTGCTTGTCCCTAAATGACATCATTTTTAAATTGAATTATTTCTCCCATTAGTGTGTGTTGCGAGAGAGAGAACCTCCAACAATGTCTTAGCACCACAAGCTAACCTCAGCTTTAGCCGCCTCCAGATCATGAGCACATGTGTGCCCCGTATACTTAAGGAAGTCTTCCAACATGAACCTGCAACTTTGCTCTGTAGGTCAGCCTGCAAAGCTTCACCACCACCTAGCCCTAGTCATGGCTCTTAAAACTACTGTGGTGAAGTCAGCAGGTGGTGTAGTGCTTAAGGCGCTGGATTCCTATATGGCCAACCAGAGTTCGAGTCCAGGCCTAATGGCCTGAAAATCATGCCAGATACATGTGCACGTGTGCCCCAAATCCCAAGAGAGTGGAGGAGAAGGGAGCGTGGCACGACCATCCCCCTGAGAGGTGATTTCTCATTTTCCCTCCCTCTGTTTCTCTGTTTCTTCCAGCAAGTGCACTTACCTTATGGAAAAAACCTGAGAAAAATAAATACACACACACACACACACACACACACTATGGTAAGTTTTAAAAAATTTAATTAATTTATTTTTATTAATTTCACATTGTATGTGAAGTCCCCATCATGATGTATACAGTATATGTGTCTTTTTTCAATAGAGAACATTTTCCATCTGTCAAGTGTTTCCTCTGCTATACTAACTTATTGAATTGAAATGACACTTCAGCTGCTTTTTAGCATTTTTAATGAGAGACGAATGGAAAGCAATGGATATCAAATGTTATGAAAATAATAGTAAGCTAGAAGTCACTAACATAATATATCACCATTCATAATGAAAGGGATTTGAGTCCCAGTTTATAGCGTACCCTTGCTTGAGTACTGATACCAGTAGGTACCGCTATAAATGATAGCTCTCTTCTGCTTCACTTGTAGCCAATACTGTGCTAAGGATTCAGAAAATCAACTTTCTCTGCCACAGTATAACGTTCTAAAAATGTATTAATGTTCCTACAGATGAAAAGAAGTGAAGAGTTTCTAACTGAAAATCAGAATCAAGAGGAAATAAGTATCCTTCGTTGTTGGAAATGTAGAAAATGTATAGCAAGTTCTGACTGTTTCATAAAATATCTTGAGAGTCAAGTGACTAAGGTGAGTATTGCTAACTCCAGTCTTGAAATAATTTCCTAGTATAACAGTCCTGTGGTCATGCCCAGACACACTCAGCCCATCATACTTGGTTAAGCTTTTACATTATATTTACCCAACCCCCTGAGAACATTCCAAAGTGGTATTCAAAAGGTATCTGACCTTCCACAGTTATAGTTAATTTTACTTGTAACTATAAATGTTAACATGACTTTAGGTGTAATAATATAGACATACGTTGGAGATAATAGCTCTTGTTTTTTACTCGCTCCGTGAGTGAACCTTAGTGATCACTGCACAATTAAATTCAGAATCCTAGTAAGAAATGGAAAACCTCTACTAGAGTTTTTTGTTTTTATTTTGTTTTATTTTTGTTGTTGTAACATTCAGTAGGGGTCTAGACAAGGTTTATGTTTAAAATGAAAGTAACCTTTAGGAAGACCGAAGTAATATTTAAATGCATTTGATTGGTCATCATGACTAAATAGAAATGTTGTTCTTAAAAGAACAAAAATCCGTAAATGTCTCTAAGAGCAATATCAAAGAGATACAAACTAGAAAGTAATCCATGGGTTTTGTAATCACTTGCCAGTGTTTTTTTTCTCTTCTTCGAAAAGCACACTCCATTTGTTTTGTTTTGTTGCCTCAGTCACACTTGGTAAGGATCGTTTCCTTTCCCCTCTTAACAAATCAGCAGCCTACCAGAACTGAAAATAGCAGGTAACTTTGACTACATACTTATTACATGCCAGACACTTTACAAACTAACTATATTTTAATTGGAAAACAAATGACAAGACCTTTCATGTTAAGAATATTTTATTGGTTATAGTTTACATAGAGTAAAAAATAAATGTTAACAGCTTCATAAACTTTATCAGCCCTGCTATGAATTATATCAAGATATACTACATTTCTGACACCCTAGACATTTGTCTTACCCTTTTCCAGGCAATGTTCTCCCTCTCACAAAGCAACCACTGTTTTGATGTCTACCACTATAGACTACTTTTGCTTGTTCTTGATCTTCATTAAAAGGGAATAATGCGAAAGCCTGACTTATTTTCCTCAGTATAATATCTTACAGATTAATTTATAGGGTTTTTTTGCATCTATCAGTATTTCCTGTTTTGCTAAATTGTTTGCTATTTATAAATATGCCGCAATTTATCCATTTTTTTTCTGCTGATGGACATTTGCGCCCATTTTGGTTTTAAGGTATGAATAAAACTGCTATCAAAATTTTGGTAAAAATCCTTTTATTTTTTTTTTTTTGTTATTCCATGGTTTCTTCTTGATATATAAATAGGAATGATTTTTTGGGGATATAGGGTCGGTATATTTTAACTTGTTTAGAAACTTCTACTAGCTTTCCAGGGTATATGTTCACTTCCAATTACTCTACATCTTTGCTAACACTTAGTATTTTCAGTTTTTTTTGTAGTTTTACCATCCTAATAGAGGCGTAGTTATATATCATCATGTTTTAATTTGCATCCACCTGGTGATTAATGATGTAGAATACCTTTTATGTGCTTATTGATTAGGCACTGTCTTAAATGCTTTATTTATATTATTCCTTACAGTAACTCTTTGAGGAAAGTATTCTGTCACCTCCATTTCAAAGATAAGGAAAGTGAGACACAGAAGTAAAAAATCTGCCTGAGTTCACACTGCTGCTAAGTAATAGAGCAACCATTGGACCGGACAGTGAGGCTCCAGAACCCAAGCTCAGAGGCTCCACACTCTACTGCTGCCTTGGGTCTTCCCTCAAGATATTGTACATTTTCACACCTTCTTAACAGAGTGTCTGGTTTTTATAAACTGGAGAGTTCTTGCTCATTCAGTTATTAGACAGATCCTTAGTGAGCAAGACCAGTTCAAGCACTGCTCTAGGATGTTTGGTGTGGGTAGTAGAAAAGAGTGATACAGAATCAGAAGAGCACATCCCAGTCTTCTAGAGGCTTTAACCTCAGGTTGGAAATAGGCCCACCTGCATAGCCTCAGCTATTGAGTATTGTAACAGAGTATGTGCAAAAACACATCTGCCTGGGGTTGTCACAGAAGGCTGCCTGACCAGACACACACACACACACACACACATTTTTTTCCAGAAAAGGTTTCATTAGGCCATAGTCCTCCCGCCTCAGCTTCTTGAATACCTGAGACTTCAAGCACAAGATATCAGGCTCAGCTTTTGAGGTAGGCCTGGAATCAATCCTGGGCCTCCCATGTGTCCTCAGCCTGCCTAGTAAAATTATCAGCCAGTATGCACTATATCTGCTAGGCCTACATGTGTATTTTTTCACTGCTTTTATTATATAATTTGTTAAAACCATAAAATTCACCCACTGTAATAATATTGGGTTGTCAGGAAAGTCATGATGCACTTTTGCATAGAAAAACAGAAAATTGTGTCATGACTTTCCCAATGACCTAGTATAACCTAATGATTTTTAGTTATGCATATTACTACTATTATACAGTTTTGAAACATTCTCCTTACCCTGAAAAGCTTCCTTACACTGGGTACAAACACACATTCCCAGAATCCTGAGAAGACAGAGAATTGGCTGTAAGAAGACAGGTGTGCCAGATCCTGTGGGGGCTTCTGTCTCCATCGCTCATGTACTCATGCCCTCTAAATTGAAACTCTCATAATGAAATAAAATATATAAAATTATAGATGTAATTTAAAATTATGTGAAAAAATGTCACATATACTAAAATATATATACCGAAAATAAAATACACATTTGTTACAATGACTGAAAACCAGACAAAGGAATAATTTAGTCTGTTAGTGGACGTATTGACATTCAGTTTTCTATATATCCTTGTTTAAATTATGCAAACCTGTTTTACATTTTACAAATTATATACCTCATGAAAACATTAAAGATGAACATGGAAGGATCTATTTTGGGACCAGCAGATGGCATAGTGGTTATGTCACTGGATTGCCACATGGGTTTACCGTAGTTTGAGGTCTGGACCTGGTGGCTTGAAAATCATACCAGGTGTATGTGCATGCATGCCCAAAATCCCAGGAGGAGAATGGAGGAGAAGGAATTGCCATGTGGCTATCCACCCAAGGGGGATTTCTCATTTTCCTTCTCACTGTCTCTGTCTCTCTCTCCCCAGGGGAGCACACATACCCTAAGGCAAAAACCTCTACCAAAAAAAAAATCTGTTTTAATTCAAGAAAACCATAAAATAAGTTGTTGGGACCTAAAAGTAGTTTTAGCAAATGCTGTGTCAAAAGGATGTTAAATTAATTCTGTTTTGTTTTGGTTTTAGGTTTTTGCCGTAGGGTGCATGCCCTGACTACAGAGAGTTAGAGACAGTGAGAGGGGATGTGAGAAATCACCCCTCAGAAGGGATGACCATGCCTCAAATCCTCTTCCATTTTTCTCCTGGGATCTTGGGCACACACACATTCGATCCTGGCATGATTTTTTCAAGCTACCAGGTCCAGGACTCAAATTACTGCTGGCCATGTGGGAATCCAATGCCTTAACAACCACAACACCAGCTGACCCAAAGATATTAAATTTATTAGCTATCAAATTAACTAAATTTATTACCTACTGAAGTTACTATACTATATATTATATGTGTGTTTCAGTAAATAAATTTGCACTGTAGTTTGTTGTTCTGAGATTGCTGTTTTTTCTCAGTATCACTGTGTTTAAGTGTAGTTTTAGTTTATTTTCATTAACTTCATCCATGATAGAATGCCTGTGTATGTATTTGGAAGGTTTGGTCACTGTGATCCCCTTCCTTCAGTCCTCTAGCCCATCAGATCCTGGGCACTCACACATTCACATAATCCCTAGCATGCTTTTTTAGGCTCAGCAGAGGCTAGGGATTTGAACCACATCTCCATGTAGGATCAGGCTTCTTTTGACCAGTAGCTCTGTGCCACGGACCAGCCCTTCATCAGCATTTTATATCTCATTCTCAAATACATTTGTATTTTCTCTGAACGGTCTTTTTCTTGCCTGTTTTTCTATTAGGTGGTTTGGTTATTGATTGTATTCTAAATACTAATTCTTTGTTAGTGATTACATTAACATACTTTCTCAGTTTACATAGCATTTATTTCACTCCTATGGTATCTTTTGATAAATAGGAGTTCATAATATAATTTAGATGAATTTATTATTTTTCCTTTATGTTCTGTGCTTTTTTGTTTAAGAAATTCTTTTATATTCTGAGAAAGACAATTTTACTTTTCTTCTACTGAATACTAAAATTGAGATAGGAAAATTTCCTCATGTGTTCTTCTGAACAGTAAGTATATTTCTTAGTCACTCGTATACTGAGGTTGTAACCCAGATTTATATAGGGGTCCTTAGGTGATCTCACTCTGAGCAAGCCCTGGCTCTACTTCCTGTTTTCCAAACCCCACGAAAACAGGAAATCACTCTCAGAACAACACAGAGGACAAGAGAACAGGACATAGTATCCATAGCTGTTGGTTTTAAGGGCCACACCCCTTTACCCTTCACATTCTGCCTTTAACCCCTCACAAAACTAGGAACTAGACTTGGCTGTGGTCTTGGCTACAGAACGGCCAAGTACCTCCGAAACCAAGATTGCTACAGGAAACAGCAAAAATGCAGTCTTGTCTGCTTTCATAATACTGAGCAGGTGTATCAGCTTAGTGAAAGCTCGGTCATGTGAGGATCTTCAGCTGTAAGGGAATCTGGGACATTGGAGCTTTACTTCCCAGTGACCAATGTGCAGTAAAGCATGAGGTAGAATTTAGAAAGGAATTTTGAAATAATTTACCATGCCCACATGGAAAAAGAGGGACCTCTTTCCTGTCTTTAGGCCTGAGTTACATATAAGAACAAAACACAAAATAACAAAAACCCTAAAAACATAAAAATAAAGCAACAGAAATGGTCTCCATTTGTGCAGTGTGTGGTAAGGAATGTTGTCCTTGGTTTCTGTCAGTTTCATTATGGTTTTGGACATGTCAAGTTTATATAACT